CGGATCTATAGTGAATGTGCCCGAGAAACCATATCTTATAGTTGGTGGCAATTTCAAAATGAATGCGTATCCTTGTTCAACAGAAATACAATATACATATATAAACTGAGATGAAATACCTTAAAAGCCAGTTTCGCGAAAGCAATTTAAGTGAGAAATTATTTTTTCCGTCAGGTTCTATATTAAATTCAATTAAAAAAATAAATTTTCATTAAATTGCTTTCATGAAAATGGCTTTTAAGGTATTTCGACAGGTGGTGATTTGAGATTTACCACTGCACAACCCAACCCTGGTTTTATCGGATGAAGTTCTGTTATGCAATCCGAAATGGTGTTCCACAATCCGATCGGAACTTTTGTTTCGAAGTTAATATCGAATTCGATTGCGTAAAAAAGGAACAAACCTCCAATCTGTCAACTTTGTTTTGAAGTGTGTCAATTTCATTTGGATAAATAAAACCGAGAAAATAAACATGAGTTCAATTGTTTTATTGGCGATTTTGCTGAATAATGAGCAGCAAACATCTGAAAAAGTGATGCGAAAAATTTTGCGCGATCACAGCAATCCCATGGAATTACCGGACTCAGCGTTAGTAGTATACAGTTTGTTTTTTTTTATACTAACGCCATTTTAAACTATTAATTTATATTTTGCAGCTTTACTGCACTCTATAGAATAAATAAACAAGCGTTCCTCATGATTTTGAGACTTGCAGCCTTTTATACAAAGAAGCTCCATTCCCGCAGTGTTGAAGTTGGCAGCAACGCTGTGATTCCCTGCCGAAGGGGGGTATCAAAGGTCTGTAGGAGTGGACTCAAGCATCGCTTTGGGAAGGAGCACCGTCTCCAAGATAATTTCAGAAATAATTACGCTCATGGAGCGGAGACTTTGCTCAAAGTGGATAAAATTTTTCATGCCTGAGCAAGAGAAAAGAGCCGCCAAAAGTTCTTTCTACGAACAATTTGGTATTCCGGGTGTGATTGGATGTATTGACGGCACGCACATCAAGCTATTGCAACTACAAGACGGGTCTGCTTTTTTAAACCGAAAATGAAGTTTTAGTATTAATGCAATGATTGTAAGTTGCCACAATTACTGGATTTTATAAGGAAAAAAGTTTTCGTAAAATTTGTTTCTTATTTATTTCAGATTTGCGATCATAATATGGTTATTAGAGCTATTGATGCTTGCCATCCCGGATCTAGCCATGACTCCTTTATATGGAGCATGAGCAATGCAAGACAGTTTTTCATGACGAAGTATCGAGATGGTGCTCACAATTCGTGGTTATTGGGCGATGCTGAGTATGCTCTGTAACCTTTTCTATTAACACCATATAGAAATCCAGAACCGAGGTCTATACAACACGTGTTTAACAAAACACATTCTTCGGCACGTAATATACTTGAACGAACAATTGGGGTTCTTAAAACTCGTTTTCGGTGTTTATTAGGAACCTTGCAGTACAAACCAA